TGAGTCCATTGCCTGCAGAGAATTTTCCGGAAGGCTTTGCGGAAGTCCTGATTGAAGATGGTGTAGATGACGGGGTTCAAGGAGCTATTGCAGTAGCCGATCCAGAAGAAAAACTTGAAGGTGCTGTCCGGGATAGAGCAGTAGCCCGAGGGGCAGATGGCCCGTAGGCTGTAGAGGAAAAAAAAGGGGAACCAACAGATGACAAACACCCCGATCACCACTGTGAGAACAAAGGTGAACCTCTTCTCTCGGTTGAGGTGGGCCTTCCTTTTCCAAGGGTTGGCACTGAGGGTCTTGACTTTCCTCACCAGCTGGATCTCTCCTTGGGCCGTGGCCAAGGTGTCCATGGCTGGCGGCGACTTGGTAGAAGCTCCGTTGCTTCTCGGGACGCTGTTCCGAGGGAGGGAATCCACGGTGCTGGATTCTGAAGATGGTTTCTTCTCCGGCAAGGACGGGGAAGGGCTATTGGTCAAGTCTGGCTCTTGCTCTCTGCCCTCCTGGCTATGAAGAGCAAAGTTTTGGGTAGAGAGCGAAGGGGAGTCTGCTTGGTCACTTTCCTTGGGAGTGACCTGAAGTCCATTCGACTCCACTTTCTCTCCTGGCTTTGGCTGGTCCTGCTCGGGAAGAGCAGCATCAGGCAGGCTCACCTTGTTCTCATCCTGGACCTTCTCCTTGGGCCCCTTAGCATGAGAGCCATGTCGGTTCCGGCGCCTGGCTATGAAATAGATCCTGAGATACACCAAAATCATGATGACGCAGGGAGCGAAGAAAGAACAGGTGCTGGAGGAGAGGACGTACCATGGCTCGTCGTTGAGCTCACACTTTGGGATGTCCTCCTTGGCCAGGTTCCGGTTCTCCTTGAGGACCAGAGGGGGTAAGGAGATCAACGCCGAAACCAACCACACCATCAGGATGATGCATTTGATCCGACGGGGCGTCCTCTTGAAATTGTACTCGATGGCCTGGCTGACGGACCAGTAACGGTCCAGGCTGATGGCGCAGAGGTGCACGATGGACGCCGTGCAGAAGAGGACGTCCAGCGCCAGGTAGGACTTGCACCAGGTCTTGCTGAAGTACCAGTAGCCCATCAGCTCATTGACCAGGGAGAAAGGGATGATGAGGGTGGCCACCAGAATATCTGCTGCCGCCAGAGACACCAGGAAGAGGTTCTGAGGAGCCTTCAGAGACCGGCTGGTCAACACAGCGATGATCACCAGCACGTTGCCAAAGATGGTGAAGAGGATCAGGAAGGTGGTGACTGCGGCGATGGTGGCCGTGGCCTGGACGCTGTAGTTCTCCTCACTCCCCGAGGTGCCCATGGTCCTTTCTGGAGCAGCCCACGGGAGGGAAGGGGAGGCCGGCTTCTCAGCTTCGCGGGCGCCTGGAGGGCCACCCTTCAGAAGTCTCCATTTGTACCCGACCCAGAGGAAGAGGAGGAGCAGGAGGAGGACAGGGGGAGAGAAACCGAGGCACTGGCTCCTCTTTTCATCCTGGGATTTCAGCCCGGAGAAGCCTCAGCTCTGCCAGCTGCCAACTCCCTGCGTTCTTCCTGTTAGCCTACTAGGACACAAGCCCGTTTCTGCCTAGCCATTCCGGCAACTCCTCTTCCTCCGTCTCTCTCTCTCTGGGCTTGTTTTGGCCCCTCTCGCTGATGGCCAGATCACAGCATCGCAGCAGCCTCGGAGAAGAGGACCCTGAAGTTTCTCCCCTGCTGCCTCCTCCTCTCTTGTGCAAAAGTTGGGAGAGGCATGCTCAGCTGCCTGATGCGCTTCCACCCTGCTCTGCGAAGGCAGACCGAGGCTGCCTGTGCCTTTTGAAAGGAGCTGCGGGGGGAGCTGGGTTTTTTTCCTCTCTCTCTCTCTCTCTCTCTCTCTCTCTTTCTCTCTCCTTCCTTCTCCACGCTGTATGTGTGACGTGTGATGTCAGGCAGTTGTGGAGCTCTTGCGAGAAGAAACAAAAGGAGAATGGGGGGAGGAGGGGAGGGAGAAGAGAAACCCCCCCACACACACACCCTTCTTGAAACAGCAAGAGAGAGAGAGAGAGAAAGAGTGAGAGAGAAAGAGAAAAAGATTGAAGGAGAGAGAGAGAGGGAGAGGGAGATGAGTACGAGACAGAGAGAAAAAGATTGAGAGAATGAAAAAGAGAGGAAAGAGATTGAGAGAGAGAGAGAAAGAGGGAGAGAGACAGACAGAGAGAGAGAGAGACTGAAAGAGAGAGAGAGAGAGAAATTGAGAAAGAAAGAGAGGGAGAGAGACAGAAACAGAGATGAAGAAAGAGACAGAGAGAAAGAAAGAGAGAGGAGAAAGAGATTGAAAGAGAGAGAGAGAAATAGCAAGGAGAGAGAAAGAGAGAGACAGAGAAGAGAAAGACAGAGAGGGAGAGAGAAAGGAAGAGAGAGAGAGAAAGAAAGAAATTGAGAAAGAAAGAGAAGGAGAGAGAGAAAGAAATTGAGAAAGAAAGAGAGGGAGAGAGAAAGAGAGAGAGAAAGAGAGAGAGGAGAAAGAGATTGAAAAAGAGAGAGAGATAGCAAGGAGAGAAAAAGAGACAGAGACAGAGAAGAGAAAGAGAGAGAGAGGGAGAGAGAGAAAGGGGGAGAGAGAGAGAGAGAGAAATTGAGAAAGAGAGGGAGAGAAAGAAAGAGAAAGGAGAAAGAGATTGAGAGAGAGATTGAGAGGGAGGGAGGGAGAGGGAGAGCAAGAGAGAGAAGGAAATTGTAAGAGAAAGAGAGAGAGGGAGGGAGGGGAAGAGTTTGGTCTTCCGCTGAATCTTTCCTCTTTTGCCTCACAGCATCAGGCAGCCCGGGAGAGGTGTGTGTGTGCCTGGCTGACCGCACAGGTAACTCTATAAAAGAATGACTATCTGGTGCTTGCCAGGTGTGGGATGACTCAGAGAAGCCGCCTTGGGCCTCCAGGCCGGCTGTGATTCTTCTCCCCGTCCGGGGTGTGGGTGGGACGGACGGACGACGGACTCTGGTGCAGGATCTGCTTTCTGAATTAAATGTTGGCTCAGGCTGCTCCCACTGCTCCAAGCCAAGGAGGGTGGACAGGAAAGCCCAGCTGGTCAGCCCTGCACCTGAAACCCTGACACACACACACACACACACACACACACAAAATCAGTTTCCATCCTGGGGAGCTTGGGGGTTGCACGGGGGGGGGGGCTGCCATCTTGCCTTTTTTGACCCCCTTTCCCATGGACGTGATCCCTGATAAAAGGGTTTGGGGTGGAACTCGAAGCAGACTCGACAATCCCTGGTGAGAGGCACCAATCTAGCCAAGTGGATTTGTTAAAGTTTTTATGCTGTCCATCTTCTTTATTAGGCAATTCTGGGCGAACGGAAGGACGGGTGGAAAATGTGGCCGTCCCGTCGTCCGTCCCCCCCCCGTCCCCCCCCCAGGAGGGAAGGCCCTGAGGGATCCCTGAGGATCTTCTTCTTCTCCCAGTGAAGTCTCTGTTTTCAGAGGAAGCAGCTCTTCTGGGAGGGAAAATTCAGAGCTGCAAGGAAAAATATTGGAGCAGCAGGAAGAAAGGAAAAATTCTTTCCCAGAAATGGAGGAGGCATTGGTGGCAGGAAATAACGGAAGGAGATAACAGGGAGGGAGGGAGGGAGGGGAACGAGGAGAAAGGAAAGCAAAGCAGGAAAAGAAAAAAGGATGAAAGGAAAGGATTAAAAGAAAAAAGGAGGAAGGGAAGGGAAGGAAGAAAAGAAAAAAGACGGAAGGGAAGGAAAGGAAGAAAAGAAAAAAGGGGGAAGGGAAGGGAAGGAAGAAAAGAAAAAGGGGGAAGGGAAGGGAAGGAAGAAAAAAGGATGAAGGAAAGGAAAGGAAGAAAAGAAAAAGGAGAAAGGGAAGGGTGGGGAAGGAAAGAAAAGGGAAGGGAAAGAAAAGGAACAGAAGGAAAGGGAAGGAAAGGAAGAAGGGAGTGGAAGGGGAAGGGGAGGGAAGGAGGAAAGAAGGAAAGGGAATTACAGACCTTTCATCAATTTCCAGCTAAAGTATTGAAAGTGCTGGGGCATTTTGTCTCCCTTTACAAAAAAATGCCGATCAATTTTACAACTTTTGGGCAAGGAAAGGGAAGGAAAGGAGAAACCTGCAGTTTCTCCAAGGGAGGGAAGAGAAATTAATGTAGTTTCCACGTAAATGTGAAGATCTGTATTTTTACCTTTTCAAACCTATTTTCATACATAGTTTTCATACAAAATTATGTTCTCTTTCAGCAGTCATAATTTTCTCAGTTTTCCAGTGTTATTTGACATGTTTTTAAAAAGTGGGGAGTGAAGAGGCCTATCAAGAGACATCCAGCCATGAACACAATGCACATCAATTGCAGTTCTAACTCTCATGCCTTCCAAACCGTTTTGAAGAGCAGGTCCCAGAATCTGCAGCCAAGATAATAAATCATAAATGATGCCCACATCTGAAAATGAAGACTCAAGAGAGAACTCTGCTTGTTCCTTCTCCTCCTAAGTAGCCAGGATCTAAGAAAAACCCTTCTTTATGGCCAATAGTGTCTTAAGAGCCCAACAAGCCAGGAATCCCAGTTCAGATGGCCAGTGAACGACAAACAGTAGCTGCCCAATTCCTTTATAGCAAGTTCTCTAGCAGGAAGATCCAATCAAGCTGTTTTGCTTCGGCAGATTTAGTAATTGCCCAATCGAATCAATTTTTGGAAAAAGAAAATCCTGCCATTCAAGGGAAGGATCTAAAAAATCTGGACATTTTTTTCCAAGGCAAAAAAAAAAACATGGCCAAATCAATCTGCAAATCATCTGAAATGCAATTACGGCAAACAAATGTTGAATTTCCTGAGGGGGATTGTTTCATGATTTCATCACATGTGCATGGATGTGCGTTTAAGGGTGGATTTATAAGAACCATAAAAAATGGCTGCAAAATTACAGGGAAGGAAACTTCTAACGCTCCCCTGGGAGTTTGATGACTGATCAACTGGACAATAGGGAGGGATGTTTATTTACAAAGGAAACGTCTATCACTTCAGGGCTGAGAAAAGAAACCTTTTTTTTTTAAATTCCCACCTGCACGATAGATTAGTAAAACTGCTAAAAATTATCCTGACCCAGGATTTTGGATGCGCCGAGAGTCCTTAACTTGCAACTATTCGTTCAGTGATGGTTCGAGGTCACCACTTACGGCCCTGAAAAAAGGGATTTTTTTAAAATTTCAAAATCCTTTACTCCATCCAAAGAGATGACCCTTATCAAAAAATCAACAAATCTGTTGCCATGTGATGACCCAAAGGAGCGTGGGACAAAGGCAACACACTCAGATAATCCGTAGGAGTCCCTTTATTAGCTCCAACTTTGCCCCCAATGTCCTGGTTACCTTCTGGGCTGGAGAAAAACTCTCCCAGGAACAGCCTTTGGCTGCAGAGAATCAAGTCCAAAACATGAGCAACACAAACTGTAACTTTAAGTCCAATCAAGGCAAATTGAAGTAATTAGTTTGGCAGGGCAGGAGCAAGAATTCCAGATGGGAAGGCACGGCAATAACTCAACATGGTTGGGAAGACAGCAGAAACACATATAAGCAATGACAACACAAAATAAGCTCACGTTTGCTCTCAGCAACTGCCACACTCAGCTTGCATCTCTTTTAAACTCTCATTCTCAGGTGAAGGGAATCAGGGCCCTTTCCTCCCCCGTAAGCCATGCAACCCACATTGCTCCCTTCGCTGTTCCTTCCTGCGTGCCCTAGGATGAAGAAGGGGTGGGCCTGGGTCTTCCTCCCCCTTGCTCTATCTCTTCCCTGCTCTGCCAAGCTGGACTTTGCCCTTCCCCAGTTTCCTCCACAGCCAACGGAGCCACACTCCCGCTCCCTGTCAGCTGTTCGTCTTCCTCTTCTCCTCAGATTCAGACTCCGAAGGGGGCATGACACCATTTAGGAGTAATTGCAGAGACATAGGATTGCAATTGCTACAGATAGCCTTTGATTTACAGCTATTTAATGATTTAGACTCACTTTATTGTCATTTTAAATATGCATTAATTGGGACACATTAAAAAGAAATTTCTTTTTAATGGTTGTTAGTGACTTATGAGCATTATTCACACGACCGTAGCAATATCCCTGTGGACACATGATCAAAATTCAGACACTTGGCTGCCGACTCATAGTTATGACGGTTGCAATGTCCCTGGGGGTCACGTCATCCCCTTTTGTGACCTTCCGACAAGGAAGATTCACTCAACAACCGCAATCTAACTTAACCACTGCAGTGCTTCACTTAGCAATCGGTGGCAAGAAAGGTCATAATATGGGCAAAATTCAACTTCACTGTCTTAGTTGTCTTAACTGTCTTGCTTTGCGAGGAAAAAGTTGAGCTCAGTTGCGGATGTAAGTCAAGGACTGCCTATATCTCAGTGTTTTTGGGGTTTTTTTCTGCCAATTTTTGTTTTCTATCCAAGCCATTTTTCCCTCCCTCCATCAAGCGGAAAGGAAGCATTTGAGGAAGGGTGGAGATACAGTAAGAGGACTCATTAGAGGCCCCCAGAGATCCTGCAGCCCATCTCTGCTTAAGTGCTCTAAAGAGCCGCGGAGGCTGAAGAGGGGACCCTGCCTCAGACAGATCACAATTATCCGTGGAGCCAGAAGAGGGTGGGAGGGTGGAGGAAGGTGGAGGAGGGGCTCTGGGCAGCCCCTGCAAAAGGCATGGTGCCTCGTCTCCCAGAGCCACCTCTTGCTCCATGAGTTGCCTTGAGTTGAGGGGGTGGGGGGGTAAAGGAGGCTGGAAGCAGGGGTGGGCTTCAAAAAATTTAGCAAAGGGTTCTCGGCCCGGTTGCTGGGTGGGTGTGGCAATGGTGGGCGTGGCCTAGTCAGCCTCTTGCACCACAGTGTGGGGAAGTTAGGGTTAGGGTTAGGGTCCATTTCCAGCCTTCTTAAACTTCTAGGACTGTGATGGCAAACCTATGGCACGCGTGCCACAGGTGGCACACAGAGCAATTTGTGTTGGCACGCGAGCCGCAGGCAAAACTTACCTCACTGCGCATGTGTGCTCCTCACAGCAGATTTTCGGCTGG